TTTCTTTTCATCTTCCTTTTTGAAAAGAAAAAAAAATAGATCTATTATTTATTTATTTCATTTCATTTTTGCTTTCTCTTTTTTACTGACTTTATAGGAGACAATTATTGTCTCATTGCTCACCTAGAATAACTATGCTAATTGTGAGTAAATTATTTAAAAATTGAATAAACTTGTACTGTTGTTGTTGTTGCTGTTGTTGTTGATTTGTTATCACATTATTAAATTTTTTAGTGCTATTTTGAGTGTTCAGTTCATGGGGCAGGAAATAATTGGCCCTGATGCTTACAAACCAATTTGTATACAGCTATTTCGAGAAAGGTTGTCGGCAAAAAATGTGCACGCAACAATCCCGAAAGGTAATATGGGATACGATCTATACACTATTCCTGACGACTCTAGCTGTCGAACCTTCTTTTTTTGCTTTCCTTTAGCACTCTCAAACACATTTTCATGGCCTTTTATGCCAATTATTTTAAATTTCTTTGAAGAACAGTGAACTCAAAACCACCCGAAACACCTTTCAGGATTGTCACGGGCACTTTTTCTGACAACCTTTCTCCAAATAGCTGTATAAGCATATGAAACAGCATGTAGAGAAGCCAACCCAGTCTGAGACCTTATTTAACATTACCCCTCTCCATGACTTTTCAAATATCAATGAACAAACCATATTAAGTCATTAGCCTGCATCTCTGTGACAACAATATGATGTCTCATGTTTAAAGGATTATTCTAACTAGTCATTAGTATCATTGTGCACAATAAAAAGCTTATGATAAAAAACTATAAATTACTACACTTCCAGGAATGATATTGCAGAAGAATTATGTGTACGTCTGATGTGGTAATTTTCATACTGACCTCAGATTTAGACCAAAATGCATCCCTTTTTTGAACATTAATTTCTTGCTGTACTTTAACTTTCTGGTATACAGAACCCTGTCAATAAAAATTCTTTCTTTTCAAAAATTTATATTACAATTATGTAAATATTTTAGACACAATAATACAGTAGGATGTAGCCTGTGAATACAGTTGCCTCTCCTTGCTCCGCAAGTCTTTTTGCAAGAGAGGGATCTGCGATTTGGCCCCTGCATTTCGGACAAGTCTGCATCAACAGTATCAAACCTTTGGGTCGAATTGACGCATCTCTGCCACAAAACATGTCATACAGCGACAAGTGAGGAGAGAAGACTGTATTCGCAAGCTAAGTAAGTTGAAACTAGCTGAAAAGGACATTAACACTTAATATGTGATTTAATATTTATACGTTATTAAATTCATGCCACACTTAGTTTTGTCCAGTCCCACTGTTGCTTGCTTCAACCTCCCCAAGCAAAGAACCTGTCAGACAGTCTTTCCTCCACCCTTACTAAAAATGTCAAAAGATTTGTATTACATTTCTAAAGCAAAACTGTCTTACAATTTTATTAATGAATGTATTGAGCAATTCATTTTTATTGTTATTTTGTCCAGATTATGTGATTTTACTGTACAAATTCTTGTGGCTTTGTGATCAGTTGTGCAGCATTCCCAATTAGAAAATAATCAAAAGCTGACTCCCATTACCCAGTCTGCATAATTAACTTTCACTGTTTTGTACTTTACTTACTACAGGAGTAATGGGTTCTGCTGGTTTTGCTTTCTCTTTATGAAAACTGTAGTTTGCACCTAAACAGAAAACCACACTGTGTCATCAAGTTACAATCAAATTAGCACCTTCAAGTCAGATATTTCAGTCTAGCTTATATTCACATAATTATACCTGAGGCACTTTTTACTTTTTCAAGGACAACGCTTTCCTCAACATCATCACTTGACCTTGCATTTATGGTAACGTGGGCTCCCTAAAAGCAGAACAAAATATCTAACTCTCTAAAAGGACATCATTAATCATAAACACAGGCAACCCATGTTTTTTAAGGGTGTCAGAGACCATGTGACAGTGATTGATATTTGATTGTCACCTCGCAATGATCAATCAAATTCTCCAATATCGGCAGTATCATAAGTTAGAAACATACATGACTTGCACTTTTATAAGAGACCAGAGTAGCTCTTAATCACCTGATGTAAAAGTGAACATGAGGAGCCAGTTTAAAACTCACTTGAGTCTATTGAGTGAGTCCAATTGAATGAGCATATCCCAGGATTAAGTTTACAAAAATCTTTAGATTTTTAAGACAAACTGACTTTAACAGACTTCAACTTTTTTCAATGTATTCTTCTAGCATAACCATTTTTTCAGCTTTGTTTACAAGTGATATGAAAATGTTCTTCATTTTATTATATGGCTGGCAGCTTACCCTGATTGGCTACCCAAGGAGGTGAATTGGGCCCACATGTAAGTTATGTATATTGCTTGTTCAAAATTAAGCACTTTGTAACTTACTGTAAAAAAAATTCTTTTGGCCAAAAGTGAATTAAATTCTTTGATGACAAAGCATGTTCAGTCAAGATGGCTGGATAATGGCATTCTGTTCTTCTTCTTCTTTTTCAATTCTTAACAGCCTCAACTTTGTCTCTCTTCATTAAACTTAACTAGTCGTCTTGACCCCACACTTACATATGCATTACGGAGCACAAGCAAGTTAAACCAAAAACTCATACAAAGTTGTCAAAAGAGGTGGTTGGTGCTCTAAATTAATTAAGGGCTGGAAAGTGGATGGAGTTGACTGGTGGCCGGTACTAGTGTAAAAGAGCAAGACATCAAATCTCAGAACCCCATGAGGTTAGCAGCGGAGTCGGCAGAACCACTGACCTTAAAGAAATTTTCAACATCCCGCACATGTCTTGCACATACACCTTTTCTTGATGAGGGTACTCCCTCACCTTGCTGCAAGAAACAAAACACTGCTTGAAGGAAACTGTCAGAAATCATGTTTATATGTAAACTATAATAGAGGTCAAAAGCACTGGGACCTTTCCACTGATATTACTAAAACTAGCGACTCCTCCCCTTCCACCCCAATCAAAGTGGAATTTTTCTCAAAATGGGTGGAAACGAGTTCTTTTTTTGGCCACAACATTGCTGGGGGGAGTAGGGGGACGACAGGATGAACCCAAAGTCAAACCAAAAATTGTTGTTAGGAGCAAGGTCCTATGTAATAATTACTTAGAAGGGCTTTTTCACACAGTCCCAAGTTCTTTTGTCCCCCATTGTAGAACTTAGGGGGTGCTTCTTGGTGTTGTGGAATTAACTATTGTTGGTTAGCTATACAGTAAAACCCCACGTATAAGAACCTGAGTTTTAAGAACCTGAGTTTTAAGAACCTGTTAGGCTAAAATTTTCATTTTAAGCCACATAAGAACCTATTAAGGCTAAAATTTTAAGTTAGGTTCTTATCAGTGGAGTTGCTGTAAAAGTGTATAGGTAGAAACTGCTGAATTTAGATCATCTGATTATATTTAAAAGTAACTTGACATAACATTTTGTTAAGGACAGTACCTGCACTCTACTGCCATTAGGTATTACTATTATTATTAGGTATTATGGTATAAATGATTTATATTGTATTATAAGATGATATTTATAATATATTTAAATGAAATTCATATGAAAATATAAGAACCTATTTCAAGAACCTTGGTAGTCTAAACTTGCTCTAAGTACCATTTATATAAAAATCTGTTAAGGCTAAATTAAAAAATCCATGTCCTTGTACGCAGGGTTTTTCTGTATATCATTTTGTGGTGTGGGTATTTTTCACTGTCTATTCAATCTTTTGTATTATGTCATTTAGTGATTGTAACCATCTGCAACACTGAGAAACTATCAAGCTTAGGAATTAAATTAACAAGGATCTTTAACATCAACTAGACTAGGAAGAAATAAATCAAACTTACCCAATTAATGAAGACAATTTTAGGGAGGTTTGTGTTTGGATCCATTACTTTAATAGCAGCATATAACATCTTTCCTTCATTGAGTTCATCCACTAATTCATCAAGGTCGCCATCTGAAATACAAGTATAAATTATTATATAGCTTATGTCAAGTGAAAACCCAGAATGGCGAAGTGGTACCAAGGCACTGAGAAAATGCCTCTGAATTATCTAGTATGCTGGAAACATCTTATTTCATACACTAATACTACAAGTAGGGTGGAGAATACTATAACGGAGTACATTGTATTCCACCCCCAGCACCCAAAGGAGGGTGGGGGGGAGGGGGAACTGAAAGAAAGTTTTGGTGGAGCGTTGATGCCAAGGCCTTCAAACCCAGATCCTGTTTTTAAAAGACAAAATCAGTTCATTACATGTATCTGACCATGTTTGAAGGAAGAGACCTTTTTTTGTGGCCTGAATAATAATTATGGGGATCACAAAAGAACATCTACTTTACTTTTTTTTAAGTTTGGAGAGTCAATGAGCTTTTTCAGTTATAAACACAGATCAAACCTCATGTGTTGGCCCGTGGTGAACCACCAAGGTACACACCCCATTCAAGACGAATAATATTGAATACTCTGTTATTAACGACTCAGGGTTCTAGATAGGCAAAGTGAGGTTATCAAATCATACTCCAACACTTGATTGACCATTGTAATAATTGCATTGTATTATCATTAGTATAAATTGTAACTCTATCTTAAAGCTTTTCCAATACTGTAACCACATATAGTCATGCAAATAAAGCTTATGTTGTTGTTGTTGTTATTGTATTAGTGCTCCCTCGATCACCAACCCCTCTTTCCCACCCAGTTCCAGCAACACCTTTACTCACTTGACAAGACCTAGTAAAAAAAAAAATCTTTTATACATTACATGTAGCACTGTAGCACATAAAATAACATTTAAGAGAAACCAGGGCACGATTCATATGACAGATTACATCCGCACTTCCGAACTAGAACTGAAGCAGACTGATTGCTGAATATTACTACACTGAAAGTAAAATCAAGTGATTTTAACTTTGTAACAATAACACTCCAAAATAATTATTGTGTTGGCAACATGAAAAATCTATAGTATTCATTACACTACTAGTTGAATTTAAGTTGGATAAATCGACGTTAACTGTTTAGGCGTACACAGCTGTTACTCATGCACTTCGCTGTCAAAATACACCCATTTTTTTTTTAATAGCGCTACTTTGGCAAGTATGCGAAAGGGAAACTTAATCTTACTTATATCGCTCGCTCTAACTCCATAAGTTAGCCTGCTTCTAAAGAAACTAAATGAACAAATTGTCTCAAAAAGGAAAAGAAGGGAGAGATTTCCGTGAAAACATTCACTTCCTCACCTCCAGTCTCCACAACTTTGAGATCATTCGTCTTCCCATCGTAACCAAATACAGCCCTAAAGATAAAGGAGGGAATATTATCTTACAGTGAAAAAAGAAAAGTATGGCAAAGCCATACATCTCACCAGTTGACGTCTGGAGTGTCATCAAAGACGTTTTTCCATGTGTTCAAGAGAGAATCGCGATTCTTGGTCAAGTTGATCGCCATTTTGGTTCCCTTGTCACGTGAATAAATTTGCATACTTAGGGATCTGGGACCCGTTTCTTTTGTTGTTGTTGTTGTTATTGTATTAGTGCTCCCTCGATCACCAACCCCTCTTTCCCACCCAGTTCCAGCAACACCTTTACTCACTTGACAAGACCTAGTAAAAAAAAATCTTTTATACATTACATGTAGCACTGTAGCACATAAAATAACATTTAAGAGAAACCAGGGCAAGATTCATATGACAGATTACATCCGCACTTCCGAGCTAGAACTGAAGCAGACTGATTGCTGAATATTACTATACTGAAAGTAAAATCAAGTGATTTTAACTTTGTAACAATAACACTCCAAAATAATTATTGCGTTGGCAACATGAAAAATCTATAGTATTCATTACACTACTAATTGAATTTAAGTTGGATAAATCGACGTTAACTGTTTAGGCGTACACAGCTGTTACTCATGCACTTCGCTGTCAAAATACACCCATTTTTTTTTAATAGCGCTACTTTCGCAAGTATGCGAAAGGGAAACTTAATCTTCCTTATATCGCTCGCTCTAACTCCATAAGTTAGCCTGCTTCTAAAGAAACTAAATGAAAAAATTGTCTCAAAAAGGAAAAGAAGGGAGAGATTTCCGTGAAAACATTCACTTCCTCACCTCCAGTCTCCACAACTTTGAGATCATTCGTCTTCCCATCGTAACCAAATACAGCCCTAAAGATAAAGGAAGGAATATAATCTTAAAGTGAAAAAAGAAAAGTATGGCAAAGCCATATATCTCACCAGTTGACGTCTGGAGTGTCGTCAAAGACGTTTTTCCATGTGTTCAAGAGAGAATCGCGATTCTTGGTCAAGTTGATCGCCATTTTGGTTCCCTTGTCACGTGAATAAATTTGCATACTTAGGGATCTGGGACCCGTTTCTTGAAAGTCCCGGTAACTTTACGGGCCCGAAATCAAATATAAAGAATAAGAGCGCGGGTCCTGGCTAGCAAACTACTCCATTTTGTTTCATTAACTGACAGTTTTATCGTTTTAGATGCAAAACTATTGAAACCTCGATCTTTAATGTAAAAGGAGACAGCTTACCGGGCCCATTAATTATCGGGACTTTCGAGAAAAGGGCCCCTGGGCCGGATGGGGGCCAAGCGAAGGCGAGGTCAACGAGAAAAGGATGGAGGAGGAGGCGAGCGAAGAAAAGGCATCATTTTCTCGTTTTCCTTGGATCAGCTTTCGCGCGGCAGTATTCCTTACTTTATTCAACATAATAATAACACACTTAGGATAGACAAGACAAGACAATATTTATTGGGGGTCTTATACCAGCTGATACATCAACCGTTTTCCAAATAATTTAAATTAGGGACTGTTCTAAAAAACTTGTTGGGGGGGGGGGGGCCTGAGGGGAAATTGGGGGGTCCCCCAAAAAAAATTGGGGGTAAAAGGGGGGGATTCGAAAAATATAAACACTCTAAAGAGGGGGGGGGGAACCTTAAAAAATGAAATCAAAAATTTTCACTAGAAAATGTAAA